GGGGGGGGTGGGGGGGGGGGGGGGGGGGGGGGATGCAGAGGCAGGCAGGTCTGAGTTCAAGGCCAGGTTGAGAATTACACAGTGAAACCTCGTCTCATACCACAGAAAGCAAACTAATCCTGTTACATTTAGTTTGAGGAATCTTGGACTGCCACTCACCCTGTCTCCGTTCCCTCTCTCCAGATATTGTCAGTCACTGAGAAAGAGCAAATGAGGAAAAAGAAAAGCCAACTTCTAAAGACAGCTACTATTAATTATCACATCTTCTGTTTTTATTCACATATATGCAACATCAAAATAACAGGCACTAACTGGTCTGAATCTTGATCTTCATCGAATAAAGGGTCAAACTATGAGAGCCACAGAATGTATAGTTATTTTCATATAGCAAGGAAGTATATGATGATAATTTTCCAACACGGAAATATTTCTGCCTCTTTGGAGCTTGTTCTGCAGGGCTTTAAAACTCATCCCTCAACTGGAGAGCTAATCCCACATAAGAGCTCGGGCCCAAACTGCTCAAGTCCCAAGGTCTGACAGGAAGCAGAAGGGACACATGATCACACACACAACATTTGTTCCCTCCAAATTTCCTATTTTCTACATTCTGTAGGAAGTTTCTGTGTCCACAGGACCTGCTCAGTACCGAAGTCTAACAGGAAAACTCTGACAAGTAAAATGGAAAGCACAGTAGACGAAAAACAATCCCAGAAAAAGCGAAAAGACAAAGTGCATCTAAGTAATTTACCTTGCGCTGAAAAAAAAAATGACTTTTAGTTCAAGTTACTACTATGATCCTTGGGTGGTGGTGGTGGTGGCGGCGGCAGCAGCGGCAGCGCCCGCCTTTAATCCCAGCACAACTATGATCCTGGTAAATTATGTTATTTTCTAGAATGAGTTTTTCTTGAACATTTTAAAAACCATGACAATGTAAATACTAGAAGGAAAGAAGTATAATACATTTAATGGGAACCTGGCTTCCATTAAAGCCTAAGAAGAACACGGACTGGAGAGATGGCTCAGGGAATCTGAGCACATACTATTCTTTAGTCGACAAATAAAATCTTATCTTATCTTTTTTTTTTTTTTTTTTTTTTTTTTTTTTTTTGAGACAGAGTTTCTCTGTAGCTTTTGGAGCCTGTCCTGGAACTAGCTCTTATAGACCAGGATGGCCTCGAATTCACAGAGATCCGCCTGCCCCCTGCTGGGATTAAAGGCATGAGCCACCACAGCCCAGCCCAAATAAAATCATTTTAAAAACAAACAAACAAGAACACTTGAACATGAAAATGCTCCTGAGCTACACTGTACAACCCTGCCCTCTATACCCCCCAGGAAAAGAAAAAAAAAAAAAAAAGAACTAAACAAAAACCGTTTTTTCAGATCCAAGAACTGTATTTAGAGTAAAATAATCCCTACTTTGTGCTAAATAACTGGCTAATTTTGAAGTCTCGCCTATGTCCCTAGCTAGGCAGAGGATCTCAGAATCCTTCTCTTCTCAGGCAGGTTCCAATGTCAGATTTCCGTCTGTCAGTACAGGCATTCTTACCTAAGCAGACCGTACTCAACCGCGACGGGCTCGGAACACTTGTCTTCTATCTTCACCCCAGCATTTATCTTACCATCCGGCTGATGCTCCCCACACCTCTCCTGTATCTGAGCGTTCCTCTTACCTTCGCTCCTAAAGTTGGGTTCTTCAATTCCGATTTTTGCCTTCCTTAAAATCTCTCACAGCGAGACAACGTTCTTTGCCTTTTCAAGCCGCTTGGTCTCCCAACCAAACTGGTTTTCTCATTCCCCTAGAAGCCTTGAACTCTGGCCTTTGCACCTTTTCTCACATTCCTTCCCCTATACGAACTTTCCACCTAACTATCCCAACCCAAAGGCTTCAAAACAAGGCAATGCCGCTTGCTCAACTCTGCATGCCGACCACTCAGTTCAGGGAGTCTTTCCTCCGTCTCTGAATTCCCACGGCATTATTTACATTCGATCGTTTATTTGGCAACTTGTGGAAACTCACAACAGTATTTTTAGACACTTTTATTAACTCTTTGAGACTTGTTCAATGTATTTTGAACACATTCACTCCCCTCCCCCAACTGCTCCAGATCCACCCTTCTCCCTGGTCACACAACTGCAAGTCCTCCACTTTTTCTTCTTTGCAAAACCATGGAGTTCAATTTGTTCTACCCAATCGTTCTTGGGTTGGAACCTGCCCTGGCATGTGGCTAACCTACCAGGGCTCATCTCATGTTATTAAAGAAAACTGACTCTCTCTATCTCTCTCTCCTTCTCTCCCCCCCCCAAATGGTAACAGCTCCTGAGAGAGTGGTAGAACCTCATGGCCTCCACCCCTTCACACTGGGATTAGGTCTTGTGCATGCTGTCACGAGTGCCATGAGTTTGTATGTTCAACTGCTCTGTAAGGAAAATGCCGTTCTTTTATCTGAGACAAGACAACATAACTAGATATTTATACCTCAGGCTGAGGTATAATAATTGTCTTTCTCACAATTATTTACTTTTGGATGGCTGATTTATGCCATTACATTCTTCCCGTGGAGGAAGGAGCGTACTCTGACAGGCAAGCCTGAAAATTAGTGCGGAGTGATAACACGCTGTCATTAACCGGTCATCAATGCTTCCCTCATAAACACGGTCAAAAGCAGGGTTAGGCAAAGAAGCCATTCTCCGTCAGAGAATGAGCCAGAAAAATCCCAACTACTACTCGTTTTTGAATGACAATTATTAAAGATTTACAAAATGTATTTGTGCTACTCTAGCTCCCCCATCAAAAAAAAAACATAAAATACAAGTAAAGCAATCAGAAACTGTCTAAAGTTACAAAACTATGAACGCTAGAAGACTGGGAACGTCGACACTGCCCACGTCGTCCTGATTATAAACCCATACAGATTCGAAACCATCCCTCTGGCTGGTCCCTTTTGGGTCTTGGAAACTTTAGGGACCTAATACGAACCAGAGAGTTCCCAAGTTAGTCCCCCTCCAGGGCACTGATGACAGCGCTAGACAGGACGAGGTAAAGCAAATGTTAATGAGTTCCAAGCCCGCCAAGGACCGAGTCAAAATCTACCCACAGCCCCGAAACACGCCGACAAGGGTGTGACTAAGTAGGTTGGGGAAAAGGGACTTCTCCACGGTCTTCCAGACTAGCCAGCGGGGCATTCCACTCGCGGATCGGTAGCCCCAGGTAGCCAGACGACCCTAGGGCAGGCCCCACCCTTGGCCGGGGCCGCCTCCGGTCGTCACAAGTCAGCGCCCGCCCCACCGCCCCGGAGCCCGAGCTGGCGGCGCCCCGCAGCTCCCGGGTGCCAGAGGCCGAGCCAGTCCCCGCCCCTTCCCCGTCTCCCCGCCCCGCGCTCGCAGCAGGACGCGCCGCCCGGCGTGAGCACCGCGGCCTGTCGCGCGCCGGTCGCGGGGACCCGGCATCCCTGCCCGGCTGGGTCGCGCACCTGAGCTGTCCCCATCCTCGGAGACCGACGAGCTCTCGGTGTCCTCGTCTTCGGAGCTGCTCCCCTCGTTCTCCGCGTAGTCCACCTCCATCTCATCGTGATGATTCGTCTCCTTCTTATCCCCTCGGGAATGGACCGGCATTTTCCAACCGCGCCGTCGCTTCCCACTCCCTGCTCCCAGCCCGGCCACTGCCGCTTCGGTGAAGGGCGCGCCGAACGCCCCGAATCACCGGCCGCCGAGCTCGCACCGAAACCTTCGACTACTCCCCACCCCCGGCCCGGGCCTCACAACCTAACCCGCAGGCTGTGCGCTCCGAGCTCTGCCATTGGCCAAGGCTGTCCTGGGGTTGGGGGCGGGGCTTGGCCTTGTAGGAATACGATTGGTTGCCCGTGATTACGGCGCGGCCTTCTGACGAACGTCGGGAATTGTAGTCCTTAAGCCTCAGAGCTTCAGGGGCTGTGGGTTTCTAAGGTCCAGCTAGCTGAATCGCTTCTAACTTCGGACTTCAAGTCCCACAAGGCAGGAAAACTGACATACTAGAACGCAGTTTATAAACTAAACAGAAACAGATTGTGCTGATTTGGTCAGTATTTATCCTTTTCCCGCCAAGTGGTTATCTGATCTCCCTAGCTAAGCGAAATGTGAAAAGGTCCTTTGCCTGAAAGGGTCTTTCCCTATGTACTCTGAGCCTGGGGAGCTGCAGAATCATTTCTTCAACTTATTAGTACATTTATTGCCGTGAACAAACTATTAAATTGAATTATATGTATAAGAAAAAAAACTTGTACTTTTTTAATTTTCACAAAGAAATTTAATCTTGGAATTTTTACTACCAAAAATACAGAGGGGAAGGTCAAGTTTTATCTTAGTATTTCAATCTAGCATGTTTGCATATATTTATTTAATGGAAGATGCCACCAGTTGATTTAATTTCAGATTCCAATGAGAAATACCTGTTTGACTTAAAGATATTTCCTTTCTTTTTTTCAAAGACAGGACAGGACACATTAAGTTCTATGACTGTTGTAACTCATAATAGCTGACCTCTTTAATAGTAGTGAACTCTACAACAGGTTGTCTTGGTAAGTTCATTGCAGGGATTAGAAGAGTTGAATTTTCAGTTCAATAGCCCTGAGGTGGGAGTCAGTATTATATCCATTTTGTAAACGAGAAAATCATTTCCAGATAAACCTTTTAAGATGGGAGTGGTGGCGCAGGCCAGTAACCTCCACTTGGGAAACAGAGGGAGGGTGGTCACAAGTTCAGAATCGTCCTCAGCTACATATTGTCTACCTAAAACCCTGGAGGTAAAACGTGAAAACCTGCACTTCATCACTCATGAAGATAAGAGCACTTTACTATTGAAAAATATCTCATAGAATGGGCTGGAGGGATAGCTCAGCCTTTAAGGGCGTGTTCTGCTCTCTCAGAGGACCAGAGTGTGTTTCCCTGCACCTATTGCAAGTCTCACATGCACACACCCACACACAGACTCAAACATAAAGTTAAAAATAATAAAACATGAATCTTACTTTAAAAGATCTTTTCAAATAAATAAATAAGTAAAAGATCTTTTCAGGGGACTGAAGAGATGGCTCAGGGGTTAGAGCACTTGTTCTTGCAGAGGACCTGAGTTCGGTTCCCAGAATTCACATAATGGTTATTCTAGGCAGAGTTTCTCTGTGTCCCAGCAACTGCTTCAAAATAACCACATGGAGCCTTAATATCAATTATAAATGCTTGTCCAATAGCTCAGGCTTATTACTAACTAGCACTTATATTTTAAGTTAACTCATATACCTTATTTACACTCTGCCCCATGGCGGTACCGTTATTAGCATGGCACTTTCTTTTTTATTTTATTTTTTAAAAAAGAAAACAAAGTCCCAGTTCCCACTCCCTCCCCTCCTCTCATTCCCTTTACCACCTCCCCCCCACCCCATCCCCCATCCACTCCCCAGAGAGGGAAAGGCACATTGCTCCAAGGAACGACCCAAGGCCCTCCCCACTATATCCAGGCTGAGCAAGCTATCCATCCAAAGAGAATGGGTTCCAAAATGTCAGTACAAGCAGGAGGAACAAAACCTGGTACTACTGTCAGTGGCCTCGCCATCTACCCCAACCATTCAACTGTCATCCACATTCAGAGGGTCTATCTTGGCCCCATGCTGGTTCTTTCCCTGCCCAGCCAGATGGGTAAGCTCCCATTAGCTCAGATAAGCTGTTTCAGTGGGTGTCTCCATTATGGTCTTGACCTTTTAGCCCATATTCTTACTCCTCCAGCTCTTCAACTGAACTTTAGGAGCTCAGTCCAGTGCTCCACTGCGGGTCTCTGCCCCTGTCTCCATCAGTTGCTGGATGAAGGTTCTATGGTGATATTTAAGATAGTCATCAAAATGACTAAAGGGCAAGACGATTTTGGGAACCCTCTCCACTATTGCTTAGGGTCTTATCTGGGGTCATCCTTGTGGATTCCTGGGAATTTCTCTAGTGCCACATTTCTTGCTAGCCCCATAATGACTTTCTCAATCAAAATATCTCTTTCCTAGCTCTCTGTCTCTGTCCTTCCCCCATCTTGACTATCCTGTTCCCTCCCATTCTCTTCCTCTCTCCCCTTTTCCCCTACCCCTCCCCTTCTGCCCTCCCTTATCCCCTAAGCCCCATGCTCCCAATTTTGTCAGGGGATCTTGTCTATCTTCCCTTCCCTGGGGATCTATATATGTTTCTCTTAAGGTTCTCCTTGTTACTTAGCTTCTCTAGGGTCATGGACTGTAGACACGTTATCCTTTGTCTTACAGCTAGTATCCACTTACGAGTGAGTACATACCATGCGCATCTTTCTGGGTCTAGGTGACCTCACTCAGGATGGTTTTTCTAGTTCCATCCATTTGCATAGCATGGCACTTTCATCTTCTGCTCCCTCTGCATATGGCTAGCAACTCCAGACTCTGCCCTTCTTCCTCCCAGCATCTTCCTAGTCTGTCTCTCCGCCTGAACCTGTCCGTACCGCACACCTGTAACCTTTCCTGCCTGCATGAGGAAAGACCCCAAACCCACCATGCAGCATGTAGTTTAAGTTCTCAGGCAGCAGCTGAAAGAAGCTTCTCTGTACCACTGCCCATGTGAGAGGCTGCAGGAACCCACCACACAGGCTGGTGGCCGGCTTCATCTTGCAGATATGTGTCTCTGCACTGCAGTTGGCGTGAAACTGTGATACTAGAAAGCTGCATTTGTCTGTTTCTGTGCATTAAGAAACTTAAAAAAAAAAAACTCTCATGTTTTATGTGGATGTACACAGCCCTGGACATTGGGCATCATGTTCACAATCATCTAACTTTAGTTTCAAGAGAATCAATCCCTTCTTCTGACCTCTGTGGGCACCATGCATGTGCGTGGTTCACATGCATACATGCAGGCAAAATGCTAATATTGTGAAATATTAGTTTAAGATATATTACATTCATCTATGCTGTGGAATATTTGTTTAATGATGCAAACACGTGCTGCATTCTTTTTTTTTTCCTTTTTTTTTTTTTCCGAGGCAGGGTTTCTCTGTAGCTTTGGTGCCTGTAGATCAGGCTGGCCTCGAACTCTCAAAGATCCGCCTTCCTCTGCCTCCCGAGTGCTGGGCTTAAAGGCATGCGCCACCACTCCCGGCGTTTTTTTTTTTTTTTTTTGGTTGTTGTTTGTTTGTTTTGTTTTGTTTTGTTGTTTTTTTTGTTTTGTGTGTACTGCATTCTTTTATGTCGCATTTGTTTAACTCTGTAAAGCTGTGTTACTTTGCCTACCTCAAACACCTGATTGGTCTATAAAGAGATGAATGACCAATAGCTAGGCAGGAGAAAGGGTAGGTGGGGCTGGCAGGCAGAGAGAATAAATAGGAGAAATCTAGGCTCTAGAGAGAGGAGTGAGCAGTGAGAAAAAAGGGGAGGACGGCGCCAGGGGCCAGTCACCCAGCCAGTCACAGAGTAAGAAGGAAAGAAAGATGCACAGAATAAAGGAAGGTTAAAAGCCCAGAGACAAAGCATAGCTAATGAGAAATTGTGTAATTTAAGTTAGAAAAGCTGGCTAGAAACAAGCTAAGCTAAGGCCGGGCATTTGTAAGTAAGAATAAATCTTCTTGTATTTATCTAGGAGCTGAGCGGTAAGCCCCTAAAGACTAAAACAAAACAAAACAAACAAACAAACAAACAAAAAACCCAACTATGCACTAAGACACATAAAATTAATAAATCTCAAATGAATGTTTCAAAATATTCTTTTCCTAGAACACAATGCATCCCACAGCATTTCTTTCTCAAGAATGAGGTCGATAGGCGTTAGGCCAAATGTGATAACAACAACTAGACAAAACTACATTGATGTTAGATTTGTAATTTAATGACAGAAAACATTTCAAGAGTTGTCAATTTTCCGCATGGTAAAATACAACTTAGAGACTTCTATTATTTTGTGTCAATCAATCCCAGCCTAGATAAACTCTGTAGGAAAGCTCCCGTTATGGTTGCCCTAATTTTTTGAGGGGAAAATTATTGTTCAAAATGTTTGATAAATATTTTGACAAATGACCTAGAGCAGTCACAGTATCGAAATTAGGGTGATTTTTTTTCTGTCTTTTCTTTCTTTTTTTTTTAACATTTAAAAGACCCTGCCAAAATAAGGTATGAATTTGTCAAATGGATAAAATGATATTAGAATAAGTCTTCTCATTTTATAGTATTTTTGTTTTTATAATAAATACCGTATTTTATTATATTTTAAAGTATAGCCTGTCTTTTTTATTTTTTTTTAAATATTATTTATTTTGTATACAGTGTTTCTGCCTGCATCTATGACTGCAGGCCAGAAGAGGGCACCAGATCTCATTACAGATGGTTGTGAGCTACCATGTGGTTCCTAGGAATCGAATTCAGGGCCTCTGGAAGAACAGTCAGTGCTCTGAACTGCTGAGCCATCTCTCCAGCCCCCTAGTCTAAGTCTTATAGTAGCAGAAGTATAATTCTAGTTTTTACTTTGTATGGTGCAGACTTGATAAACTGGAGACTCTGAAGTGGAAATCTCCACATTGTAGTGTCAGGATTTTAGCTGTACCAGTTATTCTTATGTGCTACATATAATTCATAAAAATAAAACTTAGTTGCAAATTGGGTATGTAAGCAATTCTGCATTTCCCTAAGGGAATGAGATGAATGGAATTTCATGAATAGATATAACTTTTATAATTCTCAAAAGATAAAAGATTAGTTGCCTGAATGAACACTGTTAGATGGGTCCCTTAGACCACATGTATGAGAATTTCTCTACATCAGAATCACAAAAATGGGTTATGTTTATGCAGAGAAGAAGGAAGGAAGGAAATATTAAAACTTTTATTTGTTGACTAATAAAAAATTGCTCAACTTCCGTAACCATCAAGGAAACACAAGTCAAAACACTGAAGTTTTACGTCATACCAGTCAGAATGGCTATCGTCAAGAAAACAAACAGCAAACATTAGTGAAGATGTAAGGGGCAGAGGGGTTTTTACACAACACTGGTGCGAACGCAAAGTGACGCAACCATTATAGAAGACAATACAACTGTAATTCTCAACCTGTGGGTCTTGACCCCCTCGGGGTCAAATGATCCTTTCACAGGGGTTGCCTGAGACCATCAGAAACTACAGATATTTACATTACGATTCATAATAGTA